GAGAGAAAAAAAATACAAGGAAAATGAAGACTGTGTTGTGTATGTTTATCCTGAGAGACAGCGGTAAAATGGCATATAAGTCAACTGATGATAAGCAGGGGAATCGTTCACCAGAGGGAGTAATTATTGAGCTCAAAACAAATGATGGAAATAAGCAGCTAGAGTTGATAATAATACCATCTCCCTTGGGGACACAAACCACTTATGACTCTCTGACACTGGCTTTGTTCAGACAACCTTAAAGATATACAAGCAGCTGTCCAATGGCACTGTTTAAACATTGGTTCACCATGAATATACAGCAAAACCTAGAACTTAAGTCAAACCAATGCAGAGCTGTAGGATTCAACAATGGGGAACAATATGCATTACAAATAACAGAAATGCTTTTCCACTCTGTAAATGCGTGAGAAACAGAGCAGCGTACAATGGCCAGCTGAGCCATGTGTGTTTGGAATTCACTGGACAACCACAGTAAATCACAACTCAACCACAAGCCATGCTTGTAGCTGCAGAGGTCAACCGCTATACTTGTAGAGAATTTTTGTAATTGGCTGATTTATAGCGATGGTGTTATGATGGTTAACTAAGATGACATGCTGATTCCAATGTCAAGCCAATTCTTTTAAGGGGGGCTTGACACAAGTCATTAGGTTTGGCCAGAAACTGGTCCATCAACTACATGTTTGAACTGTGAGAAAGACAGTCAATGACTGATAAAAACTCTTTTTTTATCAGGAGAACATGCAAACTCCACGCAGAAAGATCCCGGGTGTCCTCACCAGGACGCGAACAGGCGACCTTCTTGCTGTGAGGCAACAGTGCTACCAACTGTGACACCTTGCAGCCCTCACTAAATCATAGAAGAGGAGGGGGAAAAAAAACACCCCAGCACAGTTGGTATCAAGGGGTGTGAATGAGAAAAGTGCCTTATGATTTTGGTGAATTAAGACAAAGGAACCCTTTGCACATCTATTTCATTAGACAAGTGCATAGAAGATAGACAAGTATTTCCAGAACTTTCAAACAAACTTCTGCACACTATCTAACTTGCAAAAATACAATTATTCACACAATTTCTGCGCCGTTACTCCACAACCAACCAACATTCTAAACATAGTGCTGCATAAACTACAAATCATTCCACCAAATGACAACTTGCAATAACATACAGAAAGTAAGAAACATAAACGTATCCCAACAAGGGCCAAACCACATTCTCCAGAAAACACAGACGGGCAGGGAACATATGAAGATGAACCTGCAATTGCAATAAAGACATTACATAAAATACACAAATTAAGCAGATAACATTTAACATAGCAAAGAGGAAAGATGAACACCAATAATACATCACTTCAATACGAAATTTACTCAACTCCACAACAATATATGAATACAATCAGCAGCAAAGCCCCCAGAATCCATGAAGATTTGATAGAAACAAATAGTAATGAACACAATCAACAGGTAACACTGGTAAACAAACCTGGTAATGTATGATTGTGAATGATTTTGGGGAATACTAAGTATGTCTTTTTGGATAACTATTGGTTCTGAAATGTGGGAGCGCTTCACACAACAGGAAGTATGTCGCTTGTGCGTGCCTATCCATCAATCCAACAGCATGCAATTAAGCCTTGTAATGTGTTAAAATGGTACAGAAGTGTGACTAGGTCTGACATAAAAAAGTTCCCATTTGCAGAAACATGACCAAGGTGCTCATTCAGACACGAAGCCGACAGGCTCGGATGCCGTCAGATTAACAGGGACAAGTGCATGTCTGAAAGGCGCTAATGATCCTTGGCAGGTCTACCTTAAGTTGTCAACAATAACAACCCAGGAAATTGTTTGCTACTCTCACCTTTCAGCTGAGGATTCTAGGCTGACACTTGTGTCCTTTACATGTCATGTAAGCGCAGAAATCCCATTTTTGCACTTAGGTTCTATGTGACAGTCTAACCACTAACCCTGGCAATGTTCATACAGTGCAAGAAGCGACCGCAAAACGTCATCAGCCTCCTACTTTGACCACTTCAAACATATAAGCAACCCTTGCAACATTACATGGGTGATGCTGTTACGAAAACTGTCTCTCCTCAGATGTTTCATCTCTGCAAGCAGACTCTTAGGAGTCGTAATTGCCAAGTGACTCAACATTTACCAGCTACAGAGAAAAGGGAGTATTAAAAACTAAATATCACATTTTAAATATAAAGCATTAAAGGACAGATTTGCAGTGACTCATTGACCCATGGAATAGTAATAATACTAATGGTATTTAATAAATCTGTGACAAATTCATTTTAAAAAGCAACAAAAAGCTTGAGATTCAATCCGCTGGTTGATGATTACAAATGCTGAATCAGCCATCTGTAAACTTTGAGACAAACTGTCTGGGTTGGTCGAGCCTACAGTGTGCATTCCAGCTGATCGGGAATGAGTTTGTTGCTGTGGTTCAAAACAGTTACAAGGCCCACAGCTTTCCAAAATCATAGCATTTGTTTGACATTTGGGGAAAAAACATAAACAGGATGCCAAGTCATTGTCTGTCTCCTGAACAAACTGACCAACGCTGACTGTCGCCATCCAGGGTAATAATTTAAATAGTGCAGAGGCAATTTCACAAAAATGTTTTTCGATAAAGCAGTCCCAGATTTGTTTGTAACCCAACAGGCAGCTTAAAAACATAGCCTTTCAATATGATGGTAACTATTCAAAAAAAACATTACCACTGTGTGTCTAAGCCTGAGGTGTCCACCCTTGTCTACAAACCGATAAAATCAAATAACCAGACTGGCACTAGAACAGGAAAGGGTGGGAGCTGCTTTTTTTTTTCCTAATCTCTCCACAAAATGGAAGCAGATCTCGACTCCAGTGCTTGAAATTATGCATAGCAGCTTCCATTATGCAGACACACACACAAACAAAATATGAACTCTTTGTCCAACACTGCGCTTGTTTGCATGAAAAAAGAAAGCAGTGGGAAGCACTGTGGTGCATCATGCTGTGGTGAATTCTGTCAGGAGAAAAAAAAAGGCTTATATATAGCTGTACTTACTTGGGAGGTGATGATGAGCACTAGCTAACATGAATGCACTGCTACAAAAACAGACTACAGAAAAGGCATGCTCAGACATGACATGCAAACATTTTTTTTTTCCTTCCCTGTATTCAAACCTAGTGAGAGATCTGAAGTGGCTGGCTGTTGCTACCAGGATCTGATATAATGTAATTATACCAACAACAAAAAAAGTGTTAGATTCCATCTAGTCATGCAATAATCAGATTCCATACATGTAGGTTGTGATTTACCCTACACTGCAAAGTAGGACATACCTCAGGAAAACGCTTGCTATTATAGAAATCCTCTCATATGCAACAGAAAGACTGTCTGGGGGTTAAATAAATAATGAAGCAAAACTGTAACCAAAACATTAGATAGTTTTCCGAACAAGATAAAGGACGCATACCTTTATCAGCGAGCCGCGCTAAACACTAATACTGAACGTTAGCTACTCCAGGTTAATGATGTTTTTTGCCTTTTCTGTTGTGCAACTTTATTTGTTGAGCCATTTTGCGCTGTAACATTACAACGGTTCGCTCACTCAGCTGGCTCGCCAATAACTAAGCGACATTTACCGTCAAAGTGAGAAAACAACACACGTTATCTGTCATTTGTTGTTATGTGCCAGCTGAGGAATGTTACGGCTAGCTTGTTACCGTTAGAAGCTAACGCTAGCCGCCTCAGCGCAGCCTCCGCTGTGTGCAATGGTGCCTTTATAAAAGTTGTGGGCGACACTTAAGTTTTTCGGCTCCGAGAAAAACGGTAACCACACCGGCCAGCTTCTCGCTCCACCGTTAACCGAACAGAACAAGGACCAACACAACGTGCAACAAGGGTTTTGTTTTATTCTCACCTTATGCTGTAGTAACTCATGTTTATCCACGGTTGCTAAGGAAGATCCTCGTGAGGTAGAGCACTTTTTGTGGACGCGGTTGGGGACAGCTCTGTTACTCGGTCCTTAGTTACCAGGCACACCAACAACGCGGCTTCCTATTGGTCCGCCATGAATTTAGGTGGAGCCTGATTGGCGGACATCCTAAAGGTGGAGTGTGTGACTTGACTGTAGGAGGGCTGAAAATATGCTATTGCCTTAATTGAAAAATGCCTCAGAGACATGAAGAATAAACCTATTGTAGCAGAAAATATGGGCATAAAAGGGGTGACCATATAGTGACTAGTAATCTTGTAAAATATTACTTCAATAGCCCAATTAATAAAATGCTGCACTTACAACTACTGTTGTGCATCAAATATAGATTTCTAAGCATTTAAACTGAATCAAACCTGATACCTTTTAAGGCAGTGTTTGCTTTTATGTGAGCATTTTTTTTTTTACTGAGATTGCAGAGCTGCTACCAATGTTTTTACTGTCAGCCAGTACATTTACTCTAATAGTGCACATAAGTACTTGTACTTTAAGTGTTTCCATTTAATGCTACTTTACACTACATTACATTTCAGATGTCTAAGTTGTTAACAGCTCCACCAAACTGTGATTTTCCCTTTCAACTGCTCACGTGGTTTCCATTTAAATGATGGTTTTAATAATCCAAAATCTCATCATGAATATAAGATTGGAGAAAATGCCATAAAACTGCAGATTTTTATATTCAAACTTTGCTTTCATTTTGCTCTCTGGTTAATCACCTGATGACCCCTCATTTATTCCCCCTGTATTACCAGGCTATACATAAAGCACGAACTGCACCTGCACCTACATGCTGCTGACACACTGATGCTTTAGGAATAATAAATTAAAGCTATCATATATAATCATATGCTGATAACTTTTGTACATTTTGTACACAGGATGTTTACTTGCAGTGGAGTATTGTTATAGTGTTGCATTGGTACTCAAACTTATGTAAATGTTATGAATATTCTTCTATCACTAACTGTAGCCTGACAGACGTCACAATAAGTAAATCAGGAATTTTCTTTCCACTTATATATTTATTTTATATCTCTCTTGCAGCATAGTTGAAGACAGTGTTATCAACATGCACAGCACATGCACCAAAAGCAATTTTGTACATGATTCTTCAGGCTTAAGTATTTACATAGTGTTTGCTCAATTTTCGGGCATGTGATACCAGTTACAGTTCATATGTACTCAACTTTTTTCTCCAAAATAAAATACAAGAAGAATGAGACTGACAAACTTGGCTTGTGTTGCTAGAGATCAGAATTAGATCTCAGTATATGCAGTATAACTGGAGTCTGTCGAGCTATTTGACTATTGAAGCCATTAAATTTGGATGTGGGTAAAGTTTTGATTTGATTATTGTATTATTACGATTACTCCTACCAAGTCTGTGCAGAGGGGCTGTGTAAGAGAGTTATTTCATACCATCAGCTGTCTCGTCAATTAATCAATGAACACAAAGTTAATCAGCAACTATCATCAAAAAAATAGTACAGATCCTCTATATCAGCTGTGAATTAGCGCGTCTGACTCAGAGAGATGGCCCCTCTCTTTTAAAAACAACATCAAACTCTTCCTCCTTCGCCATGTCACCTTCACACCATAATCCCTCTCTGGAGTGTCAGGCACCAAAATGTCAGGTGGCCGATCACATGGCGGTGTGCACGGCTCAGCCAGTAGCAAATGTGTAGTGGGGGACAAGGGACAACTGCTTCCTCCCTGAATTACTTTTGGAGTGTCCACATCAGGTGGTGGACTGGCACTCCTAAGCTCGGTGGTGACAAACTCACTGGAGACAGGTGTTGAAGCACCTTCTGCTGGAATTCTGCATCTCTCCGTCACTTGAATAGATGGTGTTTCAGGTTGATCCAAACATCTGCTGTGGGACCCAGCACCTTCAGAAAATGTTTCTGTTTTCTTTTTCCTGATCGAGGTAAACTGTCTCTTGGGTGCGTCAGAGTGCCGTGCACTTGGAACTGTCCGTTTGTTTTGGCGTGATCCCTGCGGTTGATCCCCCACATTAGACAGAGCACCACACTCTGTAGCTTTCTTTTTTCTTGTAGTCTTTGGTTGATGATCTCTTGATCCTGTATGAAATGATAATGAAGGATATCTGCACACGCTGGTTTTCCTGGACAGGGGACTGCAACCGTCAAGGATGCTCGTGGCAGACTGGCATTTTCTCCTCCCTCGTCTCACTGGAGGTGCAGCTGCAACAGAAGCATCGAACTGTGGGCTAACCTGGAAGAACAAAAATACACTAATGAAACAGCATGATACAACCAAAGCGAACAATTATTATGTAATTTTTAAGCTCAGGTTCATCTGCAGATTTTGAGAGCCAAATCAGATTCAGTGGCTCTGATACTGAATGTTGTCAACCACAGAGCCATTGAAAGGGGTCCGAATAAATAAATAAATAAATAACTTACCCAGGAATTAAGAGCTGATCTGTTCTGTGTCTCTGTGAAAAACTCTTTGGGGTTGATTGCTGCTCGGACGTCAGGCACATTTTGGAGTCTGGCTCCACCTAAAGGCCGCTCCACGAATAGCAGGGGAGGCTTGTCTGTCTTTGTAACTTTGCGGGGCATTAATGTAACTCATTTGTGGACCCCTAACAGAACAAAAACATCATTAAATAATAACATTGTCTTCATTGAAATACAAGACTGGTTTGCTGGTTGAGATGTCCACATCACGTTGTATTCCTTTGAATGTTTTCACTCGTAGCAACAACCCCAACATTATTCTTACCTTATTGTGGCTCTTGGCATAGGACATAGCCATCGTTTCACACAATCAACACAAATATTAAAAGTTACTTGTTCAGCTCACATTAGCTACTCCTGACTGTTTTGTTTCCCGTCCTCTTGCTTCTTGTTATTTCCCGGTTTCCACCATTGTCTTCTCTGATTGGTTCCATCGAGGTCTCTTTCTCTCGCTGCTATTGGTGCATTTTTATACCACGTGATCAAAGTGACGGGGGCCGTGCCCACAGCGCCAAAATTCAAAAACGTTGCTGAATCGACGAGACGGGCATGTAAATAACACGAAATAAAAGGGTGTTGTAGATATTAATGTTTTTGAGTTAGCCTCAAATATGAACCAACTGTTTCAACTTCTAGTCCAACCAAGGGGAATCGCCTGAAACGTCGCAGTGATATGAAGGTCGGGCTTTGTTTAGCTTTGCTGTTCGTTACAATAGTGTGGTTAGCTATGTGGACGACTAGCCACGTAGCTAGCTTAGCTTCCTAACACAGGTAGCTACTGGGGCTAACGTTAGCAGAGGGAAAGTTAGCTTGCTCCAACAGCTAAAGTATATTTTTTTTCCAGGTCTAACTAGACAAACCAGAAGTTGCATACAGTGCTAAATGAAATAACCTTATTTCGAAGCTAAAAAAAATGTCACTCGTGTCGAACGAGTGTCACCTAGCTTAAACAACATGGCATCGTAATGTTTTGTTCATAATATATAATCAACTATGTTTTGGACGGTGACCTGTGTTGTGTATTAATAACACGTCGTAACTGTTTTTATTATAGTTGAATAAACGAATTATTAATCCGCATTTGCTTAGTCTGACAGTTAAGTCAGTGGAAGCATTAATGTAAAAATAAAAGTCAACTGCAGACATGTAAAAAGCTAACGACTGTTCTAGAAGAAACAAGTCGCCAGGAAACACTACTAACTGCTATCTGTTATTTAACCTCCTAACTGAGCAGCTGTAGAGCTAAAACACGGACAAACGAGGGCCTGAATTTCATGTGGAGAACATTGAGTCCTTCTGTGCAGTATGTTGTAAGTGATATTTGATATGAAGTGGTTTCTCTGTGACAGTCTAAACTGATAAGCGTTGATCGGTTAACTGTTTGTATTCAGTGCAACCTTCCCGCTAGCTGGCTAAACGTTAATCTACCGGTTATTCCAGTTGGTACTGTTTGTTAGCATGATCCTCATCTGGCAGTGCAGACCTTTTTCCGGTGTTTAACAGGTGTTTAAATCCATCTTTGTTGTTCACACTCTCATATTTGTGTTTTCTGTGTCACTTTTGTGCAGAACAACAGTGGTTAACAAGGGGCATTTCAATGATCTGACAATGAGACGGAGCCCAAGGAGACCCCTGATCCTCAAAAGAAGAAAACTCCCTTTTCAGCAAAATGATGTGCTGGCAGCTGAATCACAAAGCCAGTCAGGTGCACCGGCATCCAAAGAAACATCCAAATCAACTTCCTCTCAGTGCTTCCCTGATGGCATCCGCATTATGGATCATCCTTCCCAGTCTGACACTCAGGTGGTTGTTATTCCCAAAACAGCAGACCTTCAAAGTGTTATCGGAGCCCTCACTGCGAAAGGAAAAGAGTGCGGTGAACAGGGCCCGAACAAGTTCATTCTTCTGAGTGGGAATGGCGGCCGGGACAATGGAGGTTTTTGTCACCCTGCTGCTGAAGAGGGATTCGTTTCTACACCGAATGCAGCCCCTCAGACAGTGAAAGCAGAGACTACACCGAGCTCCCAGGATGCTAAACCTTTCACTGGAGTTAAACCATGTATGGAAATAGGACTTGAGTATAAGTTTACATTTTTTTCTTTTACGTCTGTAAATCTGTCTTTGTGTAACCGATCATGTTTTTCACTTTTCTTTACCAGTGAATAAGGAAGGCGGTCCTTTAGATGACAGCCTCACCAATATTCAGTGGCTGGGCAAAATGAGCACCTTCGAAGCGGATGCTTCCAAGCAGACGCCCAACAAGGAGAACCAAAACCCACCTTCACAAACTTTTCAGGTCAGCTACTCCTTCTAACACCTCCTTGTGATTTTTGCTGTTGATGTGTAAACAGATACTTGTGTGAGGGGAACACTGATCTAAGACATGTCATAGCATGTCCCCTAAACTCCATCCCTCAACCAGTCTGTCTCACTAAAATGTCACCACGCTATGATTTACAGTGACTGCCATATCATTCAGATTGCAGAAGGTGGTTGTGATGCTGGATTTGAAAATGAAGTGACGACTTTAAGGTTAAATTCAATGCTGTGATTGTGTGTTTTGAATTTGTGGTGCAGATTTTTTTGCACGTTTTCCACCGGTGAAATATTAATCACACTTCAGATGCATCAGTATCTTTCACCTTTTTGTTTTTGTATACAGGCACACAATACACATGTCGACGCAGAAGCTGTTCAGCAAAACATGGCAGAGAGGCCGCCGTACTCCTACATGGCCATGATCCAGTTCGCTATCAACAGTAGGAAGAGCAGGAGGATGACACTGAAAGAGATCTACATGTGGATTGAGGAGCATTTCCCTTACTACAGGGACGTGGCCAAACCAGGATGGAAGGTACTTCAGAGCTGATAAAAGTATAATTCCTGGGCACGTCTATTGCAGCAGATGACAGATTACACCTCTGAGTGCTGAGATTTTGAATATCTTCTCCTGAAATGTACATTAATGATGTTTTGCTCATCATAACCGCAGAATTCCATCCGTCATAACCTGTCACTGCATAAGATGTTCATTCGTGAGACGACGCCTGATGGTAAAGTTTCTTACTGGACAATCCGGCCTGAGGCCAATCGATGCCTCACTCTTGATCAGGTGTACAAGGTGAGCACTGTCACTGTTTTCACATCCTTACATCTCTGAGAAGAAGAAGGCTCTTCATAGTGTTGGGCAAGTTTGTCTCATGTATTGTGAATGCTGTTTTTTGGGCTTTTTTTTTTTTTACACCAAGGAGAAAAACTTCAGAAGAATGCTGTTAAAATATTGCTGTTGTGACCACGTTCCTCCACATTTTTACTGCCCTCATCGTGCTCTTGTTTTTCATTTGCAATTTTGTAAATGTGCTGTAACATGCAGTGCTTTCAGGTTCATTCTTCATGTTTTCCCTCTCACTTTACTTCCCTCTCTGCAGCCTGGTTGTAACCCAATGACTGCCCCTGTTCCAGTGCCAATGGTTTTATTTCCCCACCAAGTAAGATTGATTCACCCTCATTTCAGTTCTTTAGGAAGCGTCTTCAGGCAGCAGAAAGTCGAAAAAGGGACAGAAAAATCAGAACTTTCGCTTGCATGTTTGTCATCAGATTCTTTAGGAGTCCTAAGAATATAGCTGCAGCTGGAGGCCTAAGGTGTAGGCATGTCTTTTTGTTGCAGGAGGAGATGATAGGAGCAGCAGGGAAGCAGAGAGGCCAAAGTCACACTGAAAGAATAATGTGCTTTGAGACTTGCGTTGTCGAACAGTTATTGTGTGCACTCATAAAAGTATCCATTGTTCCTCCAGAAACAGTAGAAATCATTAAAGGTAAAATACTGCTCAGAATCTACAGGTTGCAGGGATGAGAGTGCAGTTAAGCCACTAAGACGGCATGCTTTGACTGTGTAAACTAATGTCTCATCTTATTTTTCATTGCAACAAAAGCGGATGGTTGCCGATGCAAGAAAAACCCCGACTGGCTCTGGTAAGTTTGGACCGATGTGAGCACTTTGTCATAGAGGTCAATTAGAAAGAGAAAGCACCAGAAACTTTGCAAATGGACAGTAAATGTTTATTTGGATGCCCCACTCTGAGTCGTCATCTTTTCTGTTTTCAGAGAGAAAGATGAAACCTCTTCTCCCACGAACCGATTCCTACTTGGTTCCCATCCAGCTCCCCGTCACCTCTTCTGTCTACCTGCCATCCTCGTCTACCCCATTTGCCCCCACCTGCCCCCAGCAGAAACGGAACACTTCACGAGGAACCAAAAGAGTCCGCATAGCTCCTAAGGTAAAGACACATCGTCCTTCATAGCAGGATTATTGAATAACTGTTTAGTTATTTCCCTTTGATAGGCAACATGCAAAATCATTTTATTGTTCCAGCTTCTCATAGAAATCCTTGTTAGGTCTGGCTTGACTTTGCCAACATCACATGTAGAGATATGAATATGAGTGCCTCAGATGCTGGTAAATGTATAAAATGTGTGGTTTTGTGTCTGGCAGGTGACTCACAGTGAAGCCCAAACTGTGGTGGTGTCTCCTCAGAAGCCCTATAAGGTGGAGGTGAAGGAGGAGCAGGTGTGTGTTCCAATCAAATGCGAGACTCCCAAAGCCGCTCCAAAGAGACAAGCCAGCAGCTCGCGTCGCAAACAGCACCTGGTTCGCTCTGTGCACGAGGAGCCCGTTCTCCTCTGCCCCGATAACACCTTCTTAGACTCTGGTCTAGTCTCCGATTATTCGACAGTCCACGACATCCACACTGAGCTAGACGAGCACCAGCCCGGGCAGGACAGCCCCGACCGGGAGTTCTCCTTCAAGACTCCCATAAAAAGTAGCAGCCACTTGTCCTCCTCCACCCCCAGCAAGCCTTCTTCTAATGTACTTGAACCCTGGAAGGTGACCCCAGTGGGCAAAGGGAGCCAACACGTTCTGGACTTCAGCCCCATCCGTACCCCAGGTGGTCCCGCAGTCACCCCGCGACACGACTACACCACCTTCAGCTTCAACAGCACTCCCTTCAAAGACTGGCCTCTGTTTAGCTCCCCCAGAGAGCTGCTCACATCCGCTCCCGCCAGAGCAAGCGGATCAACTGAGCCGTCCACCGGACGCATCCCGAGCAGCTGCTCCAGAGAGCTGCTGCAGGCGGGAGGCAGCACGGCGGCTAACCACTCACTCACTGAGGGCCTCGTGCTGGACACCATGAACGACAGCTTGAGCAAGATATTCCTGGACATTAGCCTCCCTGCTCTGGATGATGAGGACCTCGATGTGGGCAATGTCAGCTGGTCCGAGTTCTTCTCTCAATTCAAGTAGCGTGAGGGCCATTACGTTTTACGACATGGCAGTGTCATCGGTTTACTTTTTGTCAAAACACTATTGGAGAGGAGCCGCACACTGAAACAGCAAAGCAGATGCAAATGAAGGTAGCAAATGTCTGACACTGTCCAACTTGTTCTCAGACAGAATAAATCTCACTTTAGAATAGCGTCCATAATAAATAGGAGGTTGAGAAATTTGAGATTAAGAAAATAGGCTTGGGGAGAAATATTAAACAACCGGGTGTATGGATGACAGATAAAATCCATGTTTTATAGTCAGAATACTGATATTCTATCCATCTAATGGATTAAAAAAAATAATAATCATATCTGCTGTGGTTTGCTGTGTGATTCTAAATCCATCACATCAGTAAATATATTCATTGCCTATGAATATACCAAAGCCCAACGTGGTCATTTAAATGGGTTTAAATGTACAAATTGCAGCCTTAACATGTGACGGATGCAACCTTCTGCTCAGCTGCTAAAGTCACTCTTTTGGACTTTATTTTTTTCAGCGTGAAATCTTTTTTCATAGCCTGTAACGAGGCTTAATGAAGCAACTAAATGGCTGGCCTCTTTTGGATTTAAGTCAAGACTGTTTTGGCTTCCTTTCATCTGCATCTGCTTTGCTCTTCTCTGGATGTTTCTGCCTGCCATGTGGAATAAATTCCCAAGAATGTTTGAATATATGACAGGGACACTTCCATTTTAGTCACATTAACCAGCTACTCACTTGTTGGATGTTTCTCTCCGTCTCTGGCTTACTTTTTTTTTTTTTTTCTTCTGGAGTTGAATTAACTGCCTTAATGTCACTTCTACCTTTTTACCTTTTCACATGGAAAACGTGGCGGTCTTGCAGTCAATCATTTATCCCAGTGTGTCACGTCTGTCTCGAAGGAATTGCATGAGAAGTGAAAAATGTCTACGTGTATATGTATGTTGATTTGCACATTTTAATATATAATTTAGCTTCTACGTCTGTAAATGGAAAATTCATATCGTCTGATCAGCTAGCGAGATGTTTCTGTCGCATTCGGATCAGTCAGAAGCGTCTTAGACGTCTAGATTGTCATGCAGGATTTGTTAGTAATAAGAAATGTCAAAGTATTACAAGTAGCACTAACAGCAATAGTATTGTGTCTGTATGTTAACTGTAGAAAAGTCTCCATCACTTGACTTCCTAAAGCATCAGTAATTGCTCTTTACTGTGCCAGTATCAACCATGGGGCACTTTGGACCCCACAGAGGGATATTTTAGCATTCGATTTTACACATTTGAGCACAAAATAGTGAATATTTTGTATCTTTCTAACCGCTTCCTCTGAGCACATTTTGATCTGTCGCCACGTAAATAGAAAAGGTGCAATCTCCACAACCTGACATGTGCTCCAGTACAAGTGATGTGAAAGCTCCTGTACAGCGTGTTTGTATCAGGACAAAGTACACAGCAATACTGCTTGTTTCTATTTATATTTGAATAAAATTTGAAACAGTTCATAAGAAGGTCTCTGTGATTTCAAAAGCACTTTATTGTTTTTTTTTTTTTTTACAGAACAGTGAAAAAATATGACTATATTTAGCAGAGCGTTAAAAGTTGTACAAGTATCTTTTACACCAGCGGCTGTTAAAGCTGAAAAAGACGAGTGACTCATTCACAGTGTAATTCAGTTTTATAATCCTACTTTTTCTAAATCATATTCTGCAAGCACATACTCCCGTTTCCAGCATAGTTTCTCTTGTTTCAAGTATTTTCTCTACAAAATGAGTACGTTGGTTTATACTGCAAAGAAAGGTTTTCTAGCACCTGTCAGAGTGCCGTCCAGGAAGTCTGTCAGCAGAAAGCAGATGTGTTTGGGGTCTTCAGTACGTCTGGACTTCTTGTTGCGCCACTTCTAGAAGGATCTGCATCTGCTTGCTGCAGTAGTCTGGGGATATTAGAGAGGGAAGAATTATGCATTTGTAAAGCCTGGACTAGTAAACTATGGACTAAACATATGATATCTGGGTGTTTTGTTGTTTTTGAAACATTTCTGAGCAGATTTGTGCTTCGGTCTAACTTTGGGTTTTGTCTTTAACAGAAAAATATATTTGAAAAATTGTAAATCCTAAACAATAGGGTCTTTGTTCTCCACTAATTCTGCTTTTCAGTCTTACAAACAAACTCCTCCCTGCTTTGCAAGCAGCTAACTTCTCAATTTCACTCCTTTAGTTCCTCATCATCATGAACAAGCACATTCCATCATTTAACTTAAGCTCATGCAAAGTCTTCACCTATTCATACATATTGAAAGCGGAGCTGCTTTCGATAGTAAAGCTCCATATTTACCCTCCATAATCAATACATTCAGTGGCTTTCTGATATACTTTGTTGTCAAACAGCGATGAAAAGTTGGTAGTTGTTGGTATGACTCACTGAAGATACGTTTCCATCTATGAGGCAAGCGGAAGCGATAGACAGTCACAAAATAAACCGGGACCCCGGTCAGTGTGAGGATGCAACTCATCCCGGTGTTCCAGGGGTCCGAGTAAAGAGACAGACCCACGATGAAGAAGCAAACCACGGTGAAGGTGACCGCGATGACCAAGGGCACCTTCAGAACAAATGAAACAGGTCAGTTTATGTGTGCAGTAGGAAAACCAACACTTTAAAGCTGGGCACATTAACCTTGAAGGGTCTTGGGTGGAGTGGGAAACGGTATCGATGGATGAGCATCCCCAAGGTTGCCAAGGCGATGAAGAACCAGCGAGAGAAGGAGGCGAAGCTGATGAGCTGGTAGATCTCTCCTGTCATCAGCATCAGCACCACTAAGGGGTACTGGAGACACACAGGGAACACAGCGAGAATGACAAACCAATAACCAATGTTTTGTGATTGTTACATCCAATGATATATTCCAGATTAAAGCACCTGTTGTTTGTAGAATTTCATATCATACGTTATGATGCCACCACAATCACTGACTCACATGTAGAACTAGTTTCTAAATGTAATATTTCTTAGATGACACTAAAAGCACAAGAAATCACTGGATTGAAATGGAATCATTCAACAGGTTCAAAGTGATGATTACAGCCATTTTCTGAATGTGTGTATTTTATTAGAAGCTAAAATCTTTTTACACATTACAAACATTTTAAATACACAGTGCCTGTAAAGAAGTGTTCACCCCTTTGGAAGTTTTTTTGTTGTCAACATTAAATCATGGTGAAGTTAAATTGGCCTGACAGGAATTTAGCAAAAAGAAAAGCTACTTGCTTGTCAGAGTGATAAATTGATTTCTAAAAAGTACGCTCAGTAAATTTAAAAATACAGCACGGAGGAACAGACAGCAGTTGCTTTATCCACAGTCTCTCCATCTGCACACCTGCTCAAGCTTCCTTCAGAGGAGTCATAGCTGTCTTGGTCTCTTTCATGTTTGGTAACTCAGTTTCTGAGGATGTTCTGCTCGAGGTATGTGCAGTCATCCTTCTATTTCTTAATGATGGATTTATTGTACTCCAGAGAATATTCAGTGACTTGGATTTGTTTTATGTTTTTTTTTACTTAACCCCTGACTTGTTTATTTAAACGCTAAAATTTTCCTAGAATTTAGTTTCTGTCTGATTGGACATCATGTTTGTGGAAGACGAATACTTTTTCCTGACAACCAGAATAATCATTGCAATTATAAACCTGAAACACACTCAATAAATAAAATAAAATAGTACATTCCAGTCACCTAAAATGCAATGCAATTTTTTTGAACTGTTATTTTTACATAGTCTTGGTTGTCATTAAATGGACCACGTCTTAAGTTCATAGATTCCATAATATTTTCCTATTTATTCATTTAGACCAGAGAGCCCTCAGTAGAGGAACCAATGTATGCATGTTAACCTGATTCTGTGTTTT